CTCTCTGCCGTCGTTCTACATCCTCGTGTACGTCGACGACTTGGTCTTTGCCACAGCTGACACTGCTGGACTCGCCTACGTGAAGTCCGAGCTACAGAAGAGACACACGTGCACTGACCTGGGTGAACTGCGCAGCTACCTTGGCTTGCAGATCACCCGGGAAAGAGCACGCCGCACCATTACCCTGACTCAGTCACACATGGTGCACCAGGTCCTTCAGCGCTTCGGCTTCACGTTCTCCTCGCCTCAGGCCACTCCTCTACCTACTCGCCACTCGCTCTCAGCTCTGCCTTCGGATGAGTCCGTAGAGTCGAGTGGCCCGTATGCAGAGCTTGTTGGCTGCCTCATGTACAAGATGACCTGCACACGACCTGACCTTGCATACCCTCTGAGCATTCTTGCACGCTTTGTTGCTCCTGGGAGACACCGACCAGAGCACATGGCTGCAGCGAAGAGGGTGTTGCGCTACTTGTGCAGTATGTCGGGCATGGGGCTAGTGCTTGGAGGGCGCAGTCCAGTGGTCCTCACTGGGCACGCAGACGCTTCTTGGGCTGATGACCAGGCTACGCAGCGGTCGTCACAGGGTTACACCTTCAGTCTTGGTTCCGGCTCTGTTTCGTGGCGGGCTACCCGCTCGTCTTCTGTTCTCGGCTCCAGTTGTGAGGCTGAGATCTACGTCGGGGCCATGGCTGCACAGGAGTTACGCTGGCTCACCTACCTACTGACCGACCTTGGAGAGCCGCCTCGTTCTCCTCCAGTCCTGTACGTAGACAACAAGGCCATGCTGGCCTTGTGTCGAGAGCAGCGACTAGACCACAGGACAAAGCACATTGCTCTCCGCTACTTTCTTGCTCGTGAGCTACAGCAGCGTGGACAGCTGCGACTTGCGTACGTGGCCTCTGAGGCCAACACTGCTGATGTCTTCACCAAGGCACTTGCGCCTTGTGATCATCAGCGCTGCTGCACGCAGCTGGGCCTTGTGCCTGCCTTGCCTCACTTGCTCACTTCTTGACCTTGCTTGTACTTTTACCTATATATACTCTTGCTCTTGCTTGCTTGCCTCTTGTATATCTCTATATATGATCTTGCATGTGAACTGGCCTTCTGGCCTTTGAACTTGTGCTCGGAATGTGTGGTGACTTTGTGATCCACCCTGAGCTTTGCTTTGCTTTGCTTGACTGGTCTTGTGACCCCTTGTTCTCCCCCACTTTGCCTATGGGGGTGTGTCAGAACATTATAGCTTACTTATTTGTGTAGGCTATAGTGGGGTATCCCATAGGGGGTACAATCCAATTAGGGTTTCCTATTTGTACTCACCTTGTTCATAGTTCACTCATTCTCTCGTTTACTTCTTCTCATGGGGGTGTGTCAAGCTCTTATGCTATAGTCTGTGTAGGCTGTATTGGGGTAGACAATATGGGGTACAACACTTCTAGGGTTTCCTACTTGTACCCAAATTTGTGCTAGTTCATTCATTCCTCATTTCTCCACAATATATGCATTTCATGACAGTCACATAATCACCACTATATCATCCAACATACAAAAATATGCCGTAGTGCAAACAGATAAATCGGTACCATCGCATCACAATGGATTTAGACAATTCTTACTACAGGTCATTTAGCTAGCAACTAGTGCATCCAGATTTTTGATTTCACAATTCATTTAAAATAAATAAATTGTGAAAAAAAATACTGCCCAAATCGATCGTATCGTAATAGGTTGCTTCGCAACCCAAAAAATGCACACAACAGAACTTCCTCCAAGTATTGTGACCATCTCACATAACTCTCAAATAGACTCTCAGAGCATTACACGTCTCATTCTCTAAACAAGTACGAGATCCGTTACGAATAGATATTAATCGCTTACGTACGCTCCTCGCCATGGACATCTGGATGGCCCAACCGTCGGTTGATAGTACCGCTTTCTTATGCATGTTGCTGGCGAAATCGGTCAGCGAAGGCCGAACCGAAGCGCACGAGCCCGAGATTAAGTTGGAAGGTAAGCAACCAGGCTTCTAGATAGGATTTGGGGCACTCTTACTCGCAAGGCCAGTTCGCTGAAGTTGGTCTTTCAGTCAGGGTGTGTCAAACACTATATGTGTTATTGTTGTGTAGGCTATAGTGGGTTAGCCTTTAGGGGGTACACAAAGCTAGCGTTTACTACTTGTACTCCAACTTTTCATAGTTCAACACTTCTCATTCTTGACATGGCATTAGAGCTTAGGTTCTAGACCTAGGACTCACCTAAGGGCCCACCGTTAGAAGTGTGAAATCAAAGAACGAGAATGAATGACTATGAAGTGAAGTGAATACAAATAGGAAACCCTAATTGTGTTGTACCCCCTATGGGATACCCCACTATAGCCTACAGAAACAAGTAAGCTATATGTTCTGACACACCCCCATAGGCAAAGTGGGGGAGAACAAGGGGTCACAAGACCAGTCAAGCAAAGCAAAGCAAAGCTCAGGGTGGATCACAAAGTCACCACGCATTCCGAGCACAAGTTCAAAGGCCAAAAGGCCAGTTCACATGCAAGATCATCTATAGAGATATACAAGAGTCAAGCAAGCAAGAGCAAGAGTATATATAGGCGAAGGTACAAGCAAGGTCAAGAGGAGAGCAAGTGAGGCAAGACAGGCACAAGACCCAACTGCGTGCAACAACGCTGATGATCACAAGGCGCAAGTGCCTTGGTGAAGACATCAGCAGTGTTGGCCTCAGAGGCCACGTACGCAAGTCGCAACTGTCCACGCTGCTGTAGCTCACGAGCAAGAAAGTAGCGGAGAGCAATGTGCTTCGTTCTGTGCTCCAGTCGCTGCTCTCGACACAAGGCCAGCATGGCCTTGTTGTCTACGTACAGGACTGGAGGAGAACGAGGCTGCTCTCCAAGGTCGGTCAGCAGGTAGGTGAGCCAGCGTAACTCCTGTGCAGCCATAGCCCCAGCGTAGATCTCAGCCTCACAACTGGAGCCGAGAACAGAAGACGAGCGGGTAGCCCGCCACGAGACAGAGCCGGAACCAAGGCTGAAGGTGTAACCCTGTGACGACCGCTGCGTAGCCTGGTCGTCAGCCCAAGAAGCGTCTGCGTGCCCAGTGAGGACCACTGGACTGCGCCCTCCAAGCACCAGCCCCATGCCCGACGTACTGCACAAGTAGCGCAACACCCTCTTCGCTGCAGCCATGTGCTCTGGTCGGTGTCTCCCAGGAGCAACAAAGCGTGCGAGAATGCTAAGAGGGTATGCGAGGTCAGGTCGTGTGCAGGTCATCAGGTACATGAGGCAGCCAACAAGCTCTGCAAACGGGCCACTCGACTCTACGGACTCATCCGAAGGCAGAGCTGAGAGCGAGTGGCGAGTAGGCAGAGGAGTGGCCTGAGGCGAGGAGTACGTGAAGCCGAAGCGCTGAAGGACCTGCTGCACCATGTGTGACTGAGTCAGGGTAATGGTGCGGCGTGCTCTGTCCCGGGTGATCTGCAAGCCAAGGTAGCTGCGCAGTTCACCCAGGTCAGTGCACGTGTGTCTCTTCTGCAGCTCGGACTTCACGTAGGCGAGTCCAGCAGTGTCAGCTGTGGCAAAGACCAAGTCGTCGACGTACACGAGGATGTAGAACGGCGGCAGAGAGGTGTCGGTGCGCAGAAACAGCGACGGGTCGGCAGTAGAAGGAGCAAACCCAAGTGCCGCGAGCGTAGTCCTCAGTGTGTCGTGCCACTCACGTGGCGCCTGGCGGAGACCGTAGACTGGACGCCGGAGACTCCACTGGGTACCAGGAGGGAAAGACCCAGTGAAGCCAGGCGGGCGACGCAGCCAGATCTCCTCGTGCAGGCTGCCCTGCCAGAAAGCTGTGCTGAAGTCGAGAGAGTGCAGCTCGTAGTCACGGTGAGCAGCAACGTGCAGCAGGACCCGAAGAGTGGTCATCTTCAGGGTGGGGGAGAAGGTCTGAAAGTAGTCAACCCCCTGCCGCTGACTGAAGCCACGAGCCACGTAACGCGCCTTGAAGACAGGCGGAGAACCCGGCGGCCGCTTCACCCTGAAGATCCACATGCCACTGACGATGTTTGCCCCAGGAGGGGGAACAGCGTCAACGTAGGTGCCTATGGACTTCCAGGAAGCCATCTCTGCATCCATAGCTGCCTGCCACTGAGAGGAGTAGGGACCCTCTATCGCCTCCGCGTAAGAGCGCGGAGTCGGGATGTCTGGTGCATCCGGGTCTCCCTCAGGGGCTAGCAGTACAGACGCGAGACGAGGTGAAGCGGCGGCCAGACACTGGAACTCCTCCTGCCTGTCCTCAAGGACGTCCGTGCCAAGGGCACACTCACCCCCGACGGACGGAGGACAGGCGGACTCAGACTCAGTGACAAGACGAGCAGCGTAGTCTAGGCGACAGCGCGCAGCAAAGTCGACAAGCTCAGTGACAAGGGCAGACGCAGCAGACGACTCGAAGGAAGGGTCAGTGACAGCAGTAGCAAGGAGACGCGTGACAGTAGGACTGGCAGCACGAAGAGAGTCCGACTCCGGGTCGGCAAGAGCAGGAAGAGAGGAAGCAGGAGGAGAAGGCAAAGGGGCACGCAGAGGAGCGGTGGACGGACGCAGTGACATCCGGTGCGTGCCAGGGACAGGAGGAGGACGCTGACGCGACCCGCGACCACTAGCGCGCTCAGTACGAACAGGCGACACAGGACGAGACGCAGGCTCACGACGCTCAGTAAGACCTCCAGTCGGACCAGCGTAGGGAGAAGGAGCAGGCAAAGGGGAGGCAGGCTGTAGCTGTGGCTGTGACCGGACAGGCTGCAGACCCTCTAAGGGAGGAGGAGGAGGAGGTGTAAGACCAAGAACCTGCTGCAGGAGCGGAACGAAGTACGGTCGGGGCCGCGCGGCGACACTAGAAACAGCAGGAACAGCACCAGCAGCCCCGGCAGGAGCACCCACTCCAGCAGCACCTCCAGCAGCACCACCAGAAGCTCCAGAACCTCCAGCAGCAGCACCAGGAGCACTGTCAGTCGGACCGCCAACGGCAGGCTCAGCGCCAACACCCTCAGCAGTACCAGCTCCAGGAGAACTCTCAGACCCAGCAGCTCCAGCACCCACAGTACGAGCACCGGCGGGACGCGCGGCAGCAGTACCCTCTGTAGCCGAAGAACCACCAGCACCAGCAGCACGCCTCCAGCGCCTGGCAAACCACTCACGCAGCTCCTGTGGGGAGAGTGGCTCCCGGCGAGACTCAGCACCCCCAGGCACAGCACCCCCAGGCTCAGCACCCCCAGGCTCAGCACCCCTAGGCACAGCACCCCCAGGCACAGCACCCCCAGGCTCGGCACCTCCAGGCTCAGCACCCCCAGGCACAGCACCCCCAGGCGCAGCACCCCCAGGCTCAGCACCCCTAGGCACAGCACCCCCAGGCACAGCACCCCCAGGCTCGGCACCTCCAGGCTCAGCACCCCCAGGCTCAGCACCCCCAGGCTCAGCACCCCCAGACTCCGCACCCCCAGGCTCAGCTCCCGCAGCAGCACCAGAGTCACCAGTGACCTCGACAGGCTCGACCGCGTCTACCTGGGACACACCTGAAGGGGCAGGACCCTGAGGGGGGAGGGGGACTACCGGGGGGGGACCTGGTACCAAGAAGAGCGGGGGTGGGGGGAGGGACGGAGTGCGGTAGGGGAAGAGGCGGTAGTAGGGTACCGACTCGTCGAACGTGACGTCCTGGGAGGACAGAACACGTCGAGAGGTGGGGTGGTAAAACTGCCACCCAGGGGCGTCGGGGGGGAACCCCAGGAAGACGCAGGGAGAAGCACGAGGGGACAGCTTGTCCGCAGACAGGTCGCGAACAAACGCCCGAGATCCCCAGACCCGGAACGCCGACGCATCGCCAACCTTCCCCGTCCACAGCAGGGCTGGGGAGGTCTCCGGTCGAGAGACCCTTGGGTGGAGGTTGATCTGGTGCGCAGCGTACCTGACCGCAAACGGCCACAGAAAATGGGGAGCAGCCGCATGCATCATGGACGTACGAGCGACGTCCATGACCATGCCAATGCGGCGCTCAGCAATCCCATTCTGCTGTGGTGAGTCCGGAAGCGTGAAGGTCTGACGGATGCCTCGCGCACGACAGTAGGCACTCAGGAGGCCAGAGGAGAACTCTCCGCCTCTGTCCACAAAACAGGGAAGTCAGAGCCAAAGCTCCTCCGAAGCTGGAGACGAGCTGCGCGGATCCAGTCGATCAACACCTCAGTGACCTCACCCTTGCTGCGCAAGGGGAAGACTGTGGTGTAACGCGAGTAGTCGTCAACCACCAGCAGGAAGTAGCGCTCCTGACCCTGTCCACGGACGCGGGCTGGGCCCCACACGTCCATGTGAAGCGTCTGCAACGGGGCCTCTGTCGGAGGAAACTGGGAGGAGTGAGGGGCAGCACGCTGGCGCCCCTCGACACAGGGGACACAGGTAGGGCCAGGGCCCGGAGGAAGGGGAGGGAGAGACCTGGGAAGACCAGACACAAGGACTCGCGAGGCCATGCCTCTGAGCTGAAGCAGAGAGGGGTGGCCAAGGCGGTGGTGCCAGAGGAGGGTCTCGTGAGACAGACGACGACACGAGCAGGGGGCAGACTCAGGACCAGACCTGGACGCTGCAGCAAACACCTGACCAGACGAAGGGACCCTACCAGACGTAGCACCTGGAGGAGAAGCAGTGGTCAGTGTGTACAGGCTCGACCCTGGTCGACGTGTAAACGTAGCCAGGTGGCGACCTGTATCCGCCTCCGTGCAGTGGGTCACCCGCTGACGAGCAGGGGTGAACTGGTGGACACCCGCATCCTGGAGGTCAGCACCACTCACCAAGTTCGTCGAGAACGAGGGGAGGTAGAGACCAGTCAGGGTGCCAGAGGGGGCCGCCGGACACGGGAGGACAGTGGAGAAGCGAGACAGGACAGGCCCCCCAGAGGGGTCAGCCAGGGACACCGCAACCGGCCGACTCAGCGGCGTGAGAGTGGTGCGGTCCCTAAAGAAGGAGCGAGACGCTCCAGAGTCAAAGGTGAAGGTGTGAGAGGCCGAAGCCGACACAGTACCTGAGAGGGCAGACTCACCAGCACCTGAGAGCACAGACGCACTGGCACCTAGAGCAGCAGCCTCACTAGTACCTGACGCGGTAGTACCAATGCCCGGGTCGGGCGGGAAACACCGGTAACAGTCATCCTCATCACTACCAGTCACAGCATACATAGCAGAGAGAATAGCATCAAAATCAAGATCATAAATAGCTACACCAGCCCTAGACAGCTCTCCCCAGCGGGGGATCTCAGTGGCCTCCGGAAACTGCTGACGCCAGGCGTCGGTCAGGCGGCCAAAGCAGCGGCGGGCTGTGTGGGCGCCTCCACACCTCTCCCCTGCACGGTCACCGGTGCGAAGAACGTAGGGGCAGGGACGAAGCGCACCACCACGCTGACGCTGCAAGTACCACTCACGGAGCTGCTGAGGGGCGAGGACGGTGCGAGAGCGCTGCTGCTGCTGTGGCTGTTGCTGCGGCTGCTGCTGCTGCTGCTGCTGACGCTGACCACCCCCAGAGCTGCTCCGCTGGGACGAGCCACTCCGACCCCCGCCTCCACCGCCACCCCCGCCTCCACCGCCACCACCGTCTCCACCGCCACCTCCCCCACCAGGACCGTCGCTCCCACCGCTCCCACCGCCTCCTCCGCTACCACCTCCGCCGCCACCTCCGCCTCCACCGCCGCCACCAGTACCTCCACTCCCGCCACCACCCCCACCGCCACCCCCACTCCCCCCGCCACCCCCACCGCCTCCTCCACCGCCCCCTCTAGCTCCACCCGCTCCCTTGCCCCCTTTGCCCTTGCCAGAGCGGCGTCTGCCGCTGGGGGCAGACGCCGCGCCGACCGACTCAAAACCAGTGAGGTCGGCCGCAGCGGCAGAGGCGACAGAGGGCAGCAGGGGGGAAGGACCACACCCCTCAAAGATGGGGGTGCGAGGGTCACCCCGAGAGGCCCCTACAGCGACAATACTCTTTTTAGCCGCTAGCAGGGACTCCTCAAGGAGGTCGACAGTGAGAGTGGTGGGACAGATTGAGAGAAACTGGTCCCTAACTACACGAAGGGACTCAGGGAGACGGGTGACGAGAAAGTAGAGAGTGATGTACATGGGAGGAGGGTTCGCAGCGCGGAACTGAGCAGGAAGGGCAGCGCGGTAGCGGGTGTCACTAGCACGGAGGTGGGTAACGAGGTCAGCGACAGTGGGAAAGGAAGCGAGGTCAGGGAAGAGAAACGGTAGCATGAGGCGGCTAAGGGTAGCGGAGGAAGGGGAGGAGTAGCGTGCAACTACAGCGTCGTACAAGGCCTGAGCGGTCTTGCACTGACTAAAGTGGGCACGCTCAGAGGAAGGGAGGTGGCGACGCACAGCAAGACGTGCAGCAGCATCGCGGGTCGCCCACTTGGAGCGAACGGCAGAGTCAGCATCAGCAGGTGGGGCAGGGACAGCGCCAGAGACAAAGTCAAAGAGAGAGACCTCATCTATCGCATCACACAGTAAGTACAGCTGCAGGTCTTCAATCCAGACGGCAAAGTCAATGGCCCTCCCCTCAGCGTCAAAAGTAAGAACATTGGGGGTGGCCATGGCAGCAGCTGAAAGTCTCACCGGGCTGGGAGAGTCGGGTAGGTCAGCAGCAGAGGAACACAGCTCAGGAACAGCAGCACGGCTCCTCAGGCGGCTCGGGCGGCTCGGGCGGCTCGGGCGGCTCGGGCGGCTCGGGCGGCTCGGGCGGCTCGGGCGGCTCGGGCGGCTCGGGCGGTTCGGGCGGCTCGGGCTGCTCGGGCGGCGGCTCGGCTGCAGCTCAGCGGCGGCTCGGCGACGGCTCGGGCGGCGGCTCAGGTGGCCCGGGCGGCGGCTCAGGCGGCGGCGGCTTGGCGGCGGCTCAGGTGGCGGCGGCTCGGCGGTGGCGGCGGCGGCCCGGCTGCTGGTGGGCGGCTCGGCGGGTCCGCGTAGCAGAGGGCGGCGGTGCCGCGTAGCAGAGGGTGGCGGGGCCGCGTAGCAGAGGGCGGCGGGGCCGCGATCGAAGGGCGGCGGGGCCGCGACCGAAGAGGGCGGCGGGGCCGCGTAGCAGAGGGCGGCGGGGCCGCGTAGCAGAGGGCGGCGGGGCCGCGATCGAAGGGCGGCGGGGCCGCGTAGCAGAGGGCGGCGGGGCCGCGAAGCAGAGGGCGGCGGAGCCGCGTAGCAGAGGGCGGCGGGGCCGCGTAGCAGAGGGCGGCGGGGCCGCGTAGCAGAGGGCGGCGGGGCCGCGTAGCAGAGGGCGGCGGGGCCGCGTAGCAGAGGGCGGCGGGGCCGCGATCGAAGGGCGGGGGGGGGGGGGCGCGATCGAAGGGGGGGGGGGGGGGGGGCGGCGGGGCCGCGTAGCAGAGGGCGGCGGGGCCGCGATCGAAGGGCGGCGGGGCCGCTAGGGAAGGGCGGCGGAGCCGCTAGGGGAAGGGCGGCGCAACGGGCCGCTAGGGGCGACACGACGGGTCGCTAAAAAAAAAAAAACGCGCCTCGGGGCGCGGTTCGGTGGGCCCTAGAAGCAGTCCCTAGGAGGGAACCTGCTCTGATTCCATGTGAAATCAAAGAACGAGAATGAATGACTATGAAGTGAAGTGAATACAAATAGGAAACCCTAATTGTGTTGTACCCCCTATGGGATACCCCACTATAGCCTACAGAAACAAGTAAGCTATATGTTCTGACAAGAAGCGCCCTTGAGCGCCTTATCGTCCTAGCGCCTTCGAGCGCCGTTCTCCTAGTGCGCCCTCGTGCGCCTTGTCTTCTCCTGCTGCCTATGCGCGGCTTGCTAGTGCCGCGCGCGGCCTTTTTTTTTCCCGCGCGTCGCTCCCTAGCAGCCCGCGCGCGGCCGTTTCTGAGCGCGCGCCGCCCGTTAGCCGCCAACGCCGCCACAAGCAGCTCGTCGACCGGCCCTCCTGGCCGCGGGTAGCCCGCTAGCGATCGGCAGCCCCGCCCGTAGGCTGCTGCGACTCCCTCTCTAGGCCGCCCGCGCGCTAGTAAGGCCCACGAGCGGCCACGGCCCACCCGCTACAGCCGCCCACGCGCACGCCCCCAGGCACGCACGGCCGCGTAGCCTAGACCGTGCCGAGCCGCACAGCCCGAACCGAGCCGCGCCGCCCGAACCGAGCTTCGCCGCCCGAACAGAGCCACGACGCCCTAGCCAAGCCGCGCCGCCCGAACCGAGCTTCGCCGCCCGAACCGAGCCACGCCGCCCTAGCCAAGCCGCGCCGCCCGAACCGAGCTTCGCCGCCCGAACCGAGCCACGCCGCCCTAGCCGAGCCGCGCCGCCCTACTGTGCCCCACCTGCAGCAACTCCTGTTCCTGTTCCTACTGTACTACTGCTACTACTGCTACTGTTCCTACTGCCACTATGGCCACCCCATCCATTCTCACCTTTGACACTGAGGGTCGCCCGATTAAGTTTGAGGTGTGGTTAGATGACCTTCATCTGTTCCTCCAGATCACTTCCAAGGACGATGTCTCCCTGTATGACCACACGTCAAGCGCTGCTCCCGCGCCTCTAGCAGTAGACCCGTGATGCACACGCTCGCTCCCAGTGGCAGACCCGTGATGCACACGCTCGCCTAGCCGTTCGCAGTCACCTACCAATAGATGAGTGCAAGCACTCCGGACAGCATAAGACCGCCAAGGAGTTGTACGACGCAGTAGTCGAGCGCTACTCCTCCCCTGCCACAGCTACTATAGGCCGTCTCTCACTGCCCTACCTCTTCCCCGACCTGTCCGCCTTTGCCACTGTAGCTGACCTCATCACCCACCTCCGTACCAGTGACCTCCGCTACCGTGCCGCACTCCCCCCCGATTTCCTCGCCAAGAACCCCCCCCCCCCCCCCGATGTACCTCACACTGTACCACCTTGTCACCCGCCTCCCTGACTCCCTTCGCACAGTCAGGGACCAGTTCCTCGCCCTCTCTCCCACTGACCTCACTCTTGACCTCCTCGAGAAGGAGCTCCTAGCAGCTGAGAAGAGCATTGTAGCTGTAGGAGCCTCTCGTGGTGACCCCCGCACCCCCTTCTTTGAGGGGTGCTCCCCCTCCCCCCTCCTCCCCTCCATTGCATCTGCTGCTGCTGTCGACTACCTCGGAGCTGAGGGGGTCGGGGCCGCGTCTGCTCCTAGTGGGAGACGCAAGGGCGGCAGGGGCAAAGGGGGCAGGGGTGGTGGAGGTGGAGGTGGGGGCAGCGACGGTACTTTCTGCTGGTCGTCGACGACTACACGCGCTACACCACGGTCTTCCCCTTGCGTACCAAGGGTGAGGTCCCTGATGTCTTGATCCCTTGGATCCGCGCTGCTCGTCTCCAGCTCCGCCAGCGGTTCCAGTCGGACTTTCCTGTCCTGCGTCTGCACTCTGACAGAGGTGGCGAGTTTTCCTCTGACCTCTTGGCAGCCTACTGTGCGGAGCACGGCATCACCCAGTCGTTCACACTCCCGGCCTCTCCGCAGCAGAATGGGGTTGCTGAGCGCCGCATTGGTCTTGTCATGGAGGTCGCTCGTACCTCCATGATCCATGCGGCTGCCCCCCATTTCCTGTGGCCGTTTGCAGTGCAGTACGCCGCGCGTCAGCTCAACATCTGGCCCCGAGTCTCTGCTCCAGAGACCTCGCCTACCCTTCGTTGGACGGGGGAGGTTGGCGATGCGTCGGTGTTCCGCGTCTGGGGATGTCGAGCCTTTGTCCGCGATACGTCCGCGGTCAAGCTCTCCTCCCGTGCCGTTCCCTGTGTCTTCCTTGGCTTTGTCCCTGACACGCCTGGCTGGCAGTTTTACCACCCCACCTCGCGCCGGGTCTTCGCCTCTCAGGACGTCACCTTTGACGAGTCGGTACCCTTTTACCGTCTCTTCCCCTACCGCACTGCCCCGCTCCCCCCTCCGCCGCTCTTCCTCACGCCAAGTGCTGCTTCGGTAGACCCCCTGCCTCCCCAGGGTGCTGCTCCCTCAGGTGTTTCCCAGGTAGACCCGATCGAGCCTGTCGAGGAAGCTGTTGACTCTGGTCCTGTGCGAGGTGCTGAGCCTGGTAGTGCTAGGCTTGGGGGCGTTGAGCCTGGGGGTGCTGGGTCTGGGGGCGCTGAGCCTGGGGGTGCTGAGACTGCGGGTGCTGGGCCTGGGGGTGCTGCGACTGGGGGTGCGGAGACAGTGGGTGCTGAGCCTGGAGGTGCTGCGACTGGGGGT